CTTTTCTTCCTCTGCTTTCTCTTGCATCAATACTTCCTTCATTTTCGCATTCATCATTACATCAATACAGCCATATGTTATTGAGAAACGAGCAAAATCAGCTAGAGTAGCTTGTTGGGACTTGCTACTGAAGTGTTTATGAAGTTTTCATTTTTAACGATTCCTTCATAAACACTTCAGGAAGAAAGATTATATTTTGTTCTTTTACTTTTCATTGCAAAAAATGACGTGCTTCATCTTTCTATTGCTACCAAGGAAAAATAATATGATTATGCCAATGGATGAAACGTTTTGATTTAATCATGGTAAGACTTGGCAAACACAAGTAGTATTTAAGGACAAAATTTAAAACTGGCCAAAATTTGCAAAATTTTTTTCCGTTCAGATCATGGATAGGGTTTTCCTATATTCCTTGTTATAGACTGAAAGCAGGAACGCGCTTTCTAAGAGTTAAATTTCATGAAATTTTATAGGCAATAAGGAAAGATCCTAGTGATGGGGAATCATGTCAAAGAAATACACTAAAAACCTAATTCTAATCGAAGATCGTAAAAAGTGTCGTGGAAAATTTGAAAGCTTATGTAGAAAATGCTGTGTGTTTGACATTTTTATCCATTGTTGAAATGTATCTGTAATACAAAACTACGTGTAAACAAATTGTAATCAACCATATTATCATATAAAGTAAATGTACATATTATCATAATCTATAAAAAAAAGTAAAATGATGAAGTTTAATTTCTGCTAAGAATAAAATGTTATTGACAAATCAAATGATTTACTGAATTACATTATCTTTGACAATTGACAAATCGAGCCGTAAGATTTTCTTTTGAAGTTACATAAAGTTATTGCGTGGATTCCGCAAGACAATGCCGGCAATTGCTACCTACCATGCCACTTGTACTGCCCACCAACCAGAGATGACCGCGATTGCATGAAAATAAAATTAATAAAATCAGTTTTTGATGTGTTTCCAAAGGAGAGGCAAACCTCGACTAGCTTTGTAATTAAAAGAAATCTTAAAATCAATCTATGGTAAATCTTGACATTTAGTTTTTCCGTTGGAACTTGTTAATCCTGTAGATTGACTTACCAATAAATTGATGCATTGTAGGAATCAGAAATGTTTGGAATATGATATCGAAATAAAAATTAAGAATCATTTTGTCTCACTCAAAATGGATGACGATTTTAGAAAATGACGTCAGATATTGCATTCATGAATTATTATGTTTCCAATCATTTATGATTTATCAAACATCAAGCACAACATAGAGTACCATTTCTTCAATTGCAATGTTTATGATTGTACAATGAATGCAAATTATAAATTAGTAGTGAAAACATTTAATTTTTGAACTTTTTTAGTACAGACTACAGCTAAAATAAAGTGTTTATCTTTCTCATGACATATATCAGTGAAGAATCATAACCAGATGAGTACGGTATCTCTCAGAAAGTTTTGGTAATTCAGAAAATATACTGTTATGTAACGTTAAAGTATCGTTAACTTGACATCATTTCATATTATAAAATAAACACAACGAAGCACGTGCGCTGATGGGTTTAGACCTGTGTTTGCATGAGTTTGCGAAAACGATCTAAGCTCAACCAATCAAATCAATCAATCAATCAAAGAGAATTTGCAAATTAATCATGACTACACGTTAAAAGAATATTATAACGGTTTTTTGTTTCGCATTATTGTTATTTTTTTAAAAAAATTAAAGATGTTTTTCGTGTTTACTGGCTTTTGCAAGTGTGTCTGGGGTAAAAATTCTTGAGCATGTGCAACCCTAGACATTCGGTCTCGGGCTTGCACTGATCTGCTCTCGAGTTCTCCCAAAGGTATCCTCGGATTGCATAAGCCTGTGCAAACACATGCAGTAAACATCTTTTATTTATTAATTTGTGTATGAATTACTTCATTTGTAAATAACATCCTTGCTTTATTAGAGTAAATATTTACGAAATGCTAAAACGTCATTGATTTTCACATGGAGTGCTACTTGTAATACAAAACCTTGATAATTTTTTGAAGCCGTGATTTTACCCCAGAAATGCGAGATTTTACACCAGACACGCTTGTGAAGTCAATCAATTATTACTCCGAGCGAGAGTCTCGAAACACTTAAACACGCGTGTCTGGGGTAAAATCTCGCCTATCTGGTGTAAGATTTGGGCTTTTCGCTTCAATTATTAGCTTTAGGTAGCGCTCCATGTATTTTAGTTCTATGTGTTATAACGACTACCATTGGTAACCTGGCAAACATGTAGCTGAGTAGTAACAAACTAGCGTCAACGACGGTGTGTTACACACATAGCTACCTAACTTCCTGGAAGTGGTATCTTGCCTATATTGAGTTAGATGGTATATGCCTGAACACAGGCTAAAAAAAAGTTAAATAAAACAAAGTGCAAAATTTGTTTCGCCGTAATATTTTTGATGAACGTACTAAAACTACATTAAGTTACATGATAAGTTGCGTCGATTTGTAATAACTCTTTTTCTATCTTTTTTCGTTCTCTCTTACATTGAGGAAGAGCACTTACAAGTATGTTTGCTTCTTTTTGTGAGGTTTTGTTGATGATAAAAATTTCGTACAAGTTTAAAATGGGATCTTAGAAATTTTCAAAAAAAACAATAAATAAATGTTTTTGTAATCAAATATTCTCTACCTCATTTTTCAAAATACCATACCCTAATATTTAAGTTACCTGAGATAAAAGCATTAAAATGTCAAATATTTCAACGTGACACGTAGGATATGCAAAGAAGAGAATTTTTATTGCGTGTAATTTACTCTGAAATACATCACAGAAAATTTTTTTTTGTTTTTGTTTTATGTCTTATGAAATCAAATCATTTTGATCTTTTTGCAACAAGTACCGAGACATGTATTATTTGAAAACATTGAAGCATCATTACCACCTGGATCTACATTTTTATATGTCTTAACATTAAGAAAAGATTTCTTCAAGTTAATGCCTCTTCTCAACCTCTATTGAATACTTATCATCAAGATTAACTTGGAAAAGAACAGGAAAATAATCAAGTGAATGTAATGTATTAAAATCAGATTCGTCTAATTTTTTGAGCTGATTTGTGAAGGTCTTATCGGATTATTTCGTAATTTTGTATTGTGTCAATGTTTTCATTTCATAGCAGTTTGTTTTGGCCTTTTGAGTTCTAGCCCAGATTTAGTTGTGAAATGGGACAATTAACAACCGTGGGTTATGTAGCTAAATATTCTTTTGTTCGAATATATGATGTCAAGAAATGCTTATTGAATTTCTTGGTGAAATTGCAACCAAAGGAAAACTAAAATTTATCAAAAGTGATAATTTAGGAGAATTTGCAGGATATGAGTTCAAATTTCTTTTAAGTAATAGTCTAATCATGCAAGACACAAATGATGTTTTCGTGTTTGCACTGGCTTATGCAAACCTTAGAGACGTTTTGTGTGAACTTTCGAATTCTCGATCAGCTCACAAGCTCTAACTTCCAAAGGTCTCCTCGGGTATGGCATAAGCCTGTGCAAATACATTAAACAACTTTTCTTTCTTAACAAAGGCCACGTCATTGTTTATAATATTCTTAGGTTGTTGATTTAAAATATGTTATCTGTTTTTTTTTTATTAAATACAATGGCATACATATAAAAAAATTGGCACGCAATTCATACATGTTGGTAGCCTGCAATTATTTAGCTACTGAATGAAGTAGATTTAATCAACATAGTCAAAATAAAATTATATATGTAATATTATTTTACGTCAAACTTTTTCAAGATTTGAAAATGCCATTTAGTTTTATGATCAAGTAATTTTCTAACCCTAGAATCCAATGTTCTACACAGTAAAAATAGATTGGTCAAAATGACAAAAAAATTGGTCATTTGAATGCACCTGAGAAGAATAATTTTATAGGTCAAAACAACCAATTCCTAAATTGGTCAAAATACCAAAACAAAATGGTTAAATTTACCAATTTATTTGACCAATTTTATTTGGTTGTTTTTACCATTAAATAAGCATTTTTTTCAGGTGCATATCCATGACCATTTGAGCAATATAGAGGATCTTTTTAACTAAGCTAAAGAAAATCAATCACACAATTATAAATAGCACATTTTTTGCAAACACAGAATACTTAAAATCTCTACGACATGCCTTTAATTAACACTACAAAAGTTTTCTACTTCATAGAAGAAATAAAATGATCCACAAAAGTTGGCAATTGAGCCTTACAATTGCATTTTGAATTTAAAAGCAAATGTTCGAAAAGAATAAATACATTTTTGCAATGTCCATTAATGCCTTTAGGATACTCAGCATTAAAAGTATAAAAAGAACTAAGTAAAATAATAACTGCATTGTCAATATTTTCCGTTTTCAGCTTTCCACAGTCATCCCCACAGCCACCAACATTATTGAATGAATGTTTCTTATTGTTCCTGTTGATAGGAGTCTAGGAGACGAACTTTTGTTAATGATCTCTAGAACTTCCACCAAGCTTTTACCCTTCAACAGAGATCAAATTATTTATCAACTTTTTCACACATTTATGCAGAAAATATTATTTGTGACAATATCAACTCTTACATCAACAATGTCCCAAAATAGCTTTTTGTTCATATCTCGATGGGTGCATTGGTCATCTAACACATAAGGCAAACATGCCATTATACACCAGTTCTTGACCTCTAAAATAATCAACATAGCATAGAATGAATATATTACCATTATCAGAGCAATGTGTTTTCTTTCATGAGCAGTTGGTGATTCAGTATGTGCCAAAATTGAAGAAGTTAATTGCCTGTTTAATGCATTTTTTTCATTTGAATTTAGTTCCTGCCTTTTTAATGCCTCCTCCATTGCTGGTTCCCACTACACACAAACAGCATGGTTTAATATGATATGGCAATTCTTATTAACATATTTTAAACTTGTATTGTGTAAAAAACTAAGTTTTAATGCTACTTACTCTTGTCAGCAAACAAAACTTGGACAACCAATTGGAACTGTTCACATTAGCTGTCAAGGGACTCCTTGGAACATTGTCCTTGAGATGTCTCTCTGGTTGAATGTTCTTAAAAAATAGTAAAATTCAACCTTAACATACAACATAAAGAAGTAAAGAAATAACGCAGCAAAATATTTATGAACTACATACATTGTATATTTATGAACTAGCATTAGAACAAATATTGTATACAAATAATGGCTTCAGCCTTCATACCTCATCATTTTGATGATCAGCTGAAGTACTAAGAACAATGTCTTCATTTACATCCAAGTTGATGGTTCTTATGTGGCTTGAATAGATGTGGGAGTGCACTGTTCAAGCTGATTCTGACAAGCCCTGTTAATAGAGGATTGAATCATAAATTCTACTTATAGTGACTCTTCTTCAAACATAATACAGCATAACTAAAGCATAGATGAACAAAACAATATATAGTAAGCAGACAAAATGCTTTTAAGCTATTTCATGCAAAATGGGAGCAATGGTTCATCTGGATCTACACAGTTACAAGACAAACAAGTCAAGCTGGGTTGCTTGATACCTCATCATGATTTTCTTGATGATCAGCTGAATTACTCGGAATGTCTGGATTCACATCCTTGTTGATGGTTCTGATGTTGTTGGAAGTGACACAAGAGTGAGTTGTTGAAGCTGATGACCACTGTTAATACATGAAGCCTGAAATTTTACTTCTGGTGATTTTATAACGACACAATCAAAGCACATGGCAGTAAAAAATATAATCAACAAACCAATAACAAACCAAGTATTTTGAACCTTTTTATGTAGAAAACCTGTAAGGCTTCAATTTACCTTTTGAGTAACGTCATTCCAAATACACGTAAACTTCTTGTGAAGTTTTATTCGAGGAATCATCTGATAAATATCATGTGGTTCTAAATTGAAAATATCCACGCCGTCGACTTGATTAGATTTAAAAATATAAGAAGCAAAACGTCAATGAAATTACGTTATTGCTGTTGGTATTCTCTAAAAGCGCTCGACCAAATCTGCCTGCTAGCAAAACGTAAACAAGGCAAGTCATCTATAAATCTAATTTTGAATTATTTTCTACACTAGATTTATGCACGAGACAACAACCCTCACACATGCGACCTACATTTCAGGGTGAGACAATACCCTCAAAATCTTCGACAATTTCATCCAATTTGTTGTTTTTCAAAAAAAGAATAACGTCAGCGACAGATGATTGTTTGTTGATTTCCATTTTGCCCACAATACAAGAGTTTAAACGCTTAAATACACTTCAACAAAGCACAAGAAATTTAGAAACACGCCACGCGACTACATACATCGGCAACAGGAAGTCAGGCACGTGCCGCTTTGCGTAATGGGATGTCAAGTGGACAAATCGACCAATCGCCGCAAGTTCGCAACTAATTGGACAAAGAAATGCACTTAATGACACTTAATATTGATCTGATTTTACTCATTCATTGCTCTAACAAACGGTAACGGAGTTGTCACTTGACTAGTGACGCAAGAATATTCGTAAAAATTCAATTAATTATGCCACGATTGTGTTGTCAGGTATGTGCAACGTTTTTTTTCAACGTCTGTCGCTGGAATGTTGCGTCATTTGGTCGCTGTTCATGAACGCGATGCCAGATTGCATATTCTCTGCGAAGTGCCGGAATGTAATTCAACCTTCGCTAAGGTAAGCTTTTGATTCTTGATACGACACTGATTTGTTTGTTATTTGTTAAAAATATTTACTTATTCAGTGCGTTCACGGTTTTGTTGTTTAGGTTAACTCTTACAAAAGTCATCTTAGAAGAAAGCACGCCAATGTTGACTTAAACTCACGTCATCTATGTTGCGTTGAATCAGCGAGTAGCACTCACAACATTTTTGTCCTGATGAGGATAGCCTTGAAATCTTAATTGATGAATTCAACAGGGAAAATGAACTTGATGACTCTGTTCAAGCAATGGAACACAAAAATGCTCAATTTCTTCTAAAAACAAAAGAAATCAATCTGCTCACACAAAAATGTGTGGATAACATTGTAGAAGATTCCACTGAACTTGTCCAAGGAACAGTCAAAGCAATTAAACACGGTTTGCAAAATTGCTTAGAGAAAGCTGGATTAAATTATAATGATGTGCCAGGTCTTGATGAATTATTTGATGAAGGACATGCTATCTCAAATCCACTCAAACATATTTCCACAAAGTATAAACAGAATGCTTATTTTGAGGAGCATTTTGGCTTAGTTGTAAGTTTTATTTCTATGTTTTTTGACTGTTTTTAGAATGTTTAGAGTTTTTGGATAAAGTTTTTTAAGATTTTTAACAGATTTGAGCCAGCTGCTCTTTAGTGCTTGTTATGCATAATCATTATTTTAATTGTAGCAACTCAGACGAATTAAACTTGGACACAGAGTTGTGAAAAGACTTTCAAGGACTGTGTACAAAGAGGTTATTAAAGATGATGAAATCATTTACATACCACTGCTTAAATCCTTGGAAAAAATGCTCAATGTAAAAGAGTACTTGAACAGGTCAGATTGTTAATAGCATGGTTGTGTTTTTTTTTTGTTGGCAAGTTTATCAAACTATGACAACTACATCTTTGCAAGTACCCATATCAATAACAGGGTTTCAAAATATTAATACATGTTCTATGTATAGCCATAAAAGGAACTTTATGTGTGTTTTACTGTGTTAGTTTCCATGAAAGCAAAAACAATGATGACATGCGTTTATTAAAGCACATTTCCAAAAATATATTCCAATTATTTCATGAAAATATGAAAATAGCCTGATTTTAATTTGAAATGTCTGATGGTAGGAAGGCACCCATCCTACCACCAGACATTTCCATTGCTGGTTAATAATAAATTTAATTTATTAATAAATTTAATATTTTCATTCTTCGATTTCAATTTCAGCTAAACCCTGGTCATCTTCCGCAACATAAACATGATGATGTAATTGAGGATGTTTGCGATGGCCAGTATTTCAAAACCCATCCTCTGTTTTCCAATGACTCAACTGCTTTACAAATCATGCTTTACTATGATGAGTTGGAAATTGCAAATGCCCTTGGTAGTAAAACTGGAAAGCATAAGTTAGGTAATAGTTTAATGACATCATAGTCACTAAATCAGTCACTCAAATGTAAAAAATTGTATGAGCAATGAAAGGCTATAAGAAGCTCTTATTACATCATATGCCATTATTTCTGTATGACAGGAGTTGTTTACTACACAACTGGAAATATTGATCCTCAATATCGATCCCAGTGTGATAACATTCACCTACTCCTTATGGCAACAGTTCCAATTATCAAAAAATATGGCATTGACATTCTCTTTGAGCCTTTCATGAATGACCTTGAATACCTTGAACAAGTAAGGATCCTATTTATTGTTTTTTAGCTTATTACCTGTTATTGATAATTGTGCAGAAAAAGTAGTTTGATAAAAATTGCTTAAAATTAACTGCCACACTTCTTTTTTGAGGATGGTGGTCACCAGTTCATTGTTAAAGGTGAACCTATGTCATTTTCTGGGACTATTGTGTTGGTTTCTGGAGACAATCTTGGATCACAACTCATGGGTGGATTTAAAGAAGGTCCAGGTGCACATTTGAAATGCCGGGGCAATGCATGGGGACCATTGAACAAATAAAGCAAAAGGTATGTATATTTATGATACTACATTATTAACCTGTTTCAACATAGATCAAATGTTTTATTATGGTTTTTTAGCAGACCAGGAACATGCACTTTAAAGTAAGTCTTACAGTTTTTAGAAAAACATTTTACACTTCGAACTTGTGCTGGTCATGACCGCCAATGTAAACTGATTGAAGAAAACCCAGAACTGAGTAAAGCATCCGGGCTTTGCAGGAGATCAATTCTTCGCAACTCTAGGTATTTTCATGTAGCAGATCGCATGCCAGGTGATGCAATGCATGATATACTAGAAGGAGTACTTCAGTATGTATGTAAAGAATTGCTGAAGGACTTCATATTTAAAGAAAAAATTTTAACAGTGGAGCAACTTAATGAAAGAATTAACTCTTTTGATTATGGATATTTTAATGATGAAAACAAGCCATCACCAATCACCCAGACAACTTTGAGGAGTGAAAACAATAGTTTAAAGCAAAAGGTAGGGTGTAGTGATTGTCACGAGCATTAATACCACCACCCTTGATTTAAATGATTGGTTTTTCTTTTTATAGCAAGACAAATGTGATGCCTTGGAAATTTCCTTCCTTTAGCTCTCGACAGTGCCATTCCTCAGGATGATGAAAAGTGGATGCATTTTCTGTTGCTCCTTAAAATTGTTGACATTGTTTTTTCACCAATCACAAACACTGATGAACTTGCTATCCTGGAAGGATACCTGAAGGAATTTTTGTGGAAATTCACCCAGCTTTATCCTGGGCTTTCAGTTATACCTAAGATGCATTACTTGGTTCATTACCCAGCTCATATTTACAGGTATGATTTTGCTGGTTTGTATCTTAGTTTATAAATAAAAATATGGTATGTAACTCAAAATGCATGTAAAAATTACATCATTGGTTTCCCTCTAGCTAACATGAGTCCTTGATTTTTCAGATTTGGACCAATGATTTGAGCTGGTGCATGCGATATGAAGCAAAACACAGTTACTTTAAAAGATTGGCTTCATACCTTGGAAACTTCACTAATGTTGCACTTAGCCTTGCTGAACGACATCAAACCAGAAGTTGCTATCTAAGAAATCAACCCATTCCAAAAAAGCCTAAAATTGGTAGGATTTTTTTGAATAGATTGATTTTAATTCTAAAAACAAAGAGGTCAATTTTAGTAACCTCTCTAGTAAGATAATAAATTGATGTTTGTTTGTTTCTCTTTAGATTCTGCAAAAGAAATTATTGCTAAGGATAGTGAACATTATTATTTGCTCAAAGAGAAGGAACCTAACTTAAGTGACATTAGTATTTTGTCAAGGTAAAGTACACATAGTGATTATTTTTATTACAGAAGATGGTGACTATTGCGAGAAAAAATTGCTAGTACTTTATAAAATGAAACCATGGCTGTAATCTGACTCTTAGACAATTTTAGATCCAACCCAGATCCTGTAGGTTTTGCACCCATTATGCGCTTAATTTGCGTCTTAGTAAGCATAAGCTTGTCAGGGCCGTCAAGTGCTTTTTGGTAAGTCGTATAGTCACTCCGGTTCCTTCTCTGACTGCCTTTGCCAGGTTATTTTTCTGAGCCGTTGAAAGTGTAACGCCGTGAACTGTGTAGTTATTACGTCCACCACCTTTAGCAGCTGCACCACCTTTCCTAACTACACCACTACCAGCAACTGTTTTTGCGTGCTGCCGGTGATAGCACCTGATATACCTGCTAGGCCTAGAGACGGTAACAATTTTGGTATGAGTTTAGTGACCGTAGGTTGAGTTTTCCAATAAGATTTTCAATAAAGCTACCGCCTTCTATACATCTTGACCCAGGAAGATAAATACCAGCGCCTTTAAATTCCTGAGTGATTACTCGCTCCATGGCGGGTCTTAGAGCTTCAACAAATATTGCGTTATTAATGTCCAACATTTTTGTGTACATGCAAAACAATTTGCGTATATAAACAGTCGAAAATTTTTGTTTTTTTAATATTATGAGTTATTTTTAAATAATAACATATCATATCTGACTAACAGTCTAAACGATTATGTCCATTTTACCGTTTATCCCATTAAGTCGAATAAATCGTTCGCTAAGCACCAAGCAAAACATGTTATACGCATTGCTGCCACCAGCATTAATCGCGCTACGGAAAGCTTGGTTCAAGGTCGAACGAATTGTAATGTTTGCGTCTTTTTTTTCAAAACATCGGCATGATGACTTACATCGAAATGGTAAATAGGAAACAGGCTTGCAGAGTCTCCTAAGCTTACTTGAGAGCCTGTATCTGGATCGCTGTACTTCATTGCAGCGTCTTGAAACGTCATGTAGGCTCTGCTGTAATTGCTGTTAGCAGCTGTGTAATTAACATCAAGCTCTTTTTCAGGATACTTTTGAGTGTTATTGATCTCAACATAAATTCGACTTGAATTAGCATGGTCAAAGACATGTATAGTTTGTTCTTGATTGTTAAAGCGTTCAGCGTCTTGGAAAGCCACAAAGATGTGAGTTGGTAGCTCTTCACTACTGTTTGTTGTCAGAGGCCGCGGAACCGGGGGGGCATTGGGGGCAAGTGCCCCCCCACTTTTTGCAACCGGGAAAAATGTGCCCTTTTTCTGGAATGAAAGTGCCCTTTTTCATGGTAGAGAAATGCCCTTGTTTTAGGTAAAATTGGACTGAAGAAGTTTTTCTTAGATACAAGTAGCCCCGAGAGTAGAACAAAGTCTGTCGGCATCATGCAAAATCAGCTATAGCTTAGTTTTTGATCTTGATTACCCAGATGGATCAAAAATCGCGTTTGTCGATTGGGGTTGTCTTCGCAGGGCTCCGCCCAGTAACTTAACCAATGAGAAGTCGCAATTTATGATCCACATGAGACTATAAATTCTACGGCAACGCATTGCTCCTGTCGTATTGTCTTTCAGGCCATTGGTCCTACAAAACTGTTGACAATTCATAATCATAATAATTGAAAATTTTGCGGTTTGAATCACTTCTAATCAAAATCATCATGCCTAGAGTTGCTAGGCGAAAACGAGAAAAGGAAAAAGAGCTTGTAGAAACAGCTAAAAGGATGCGAAAACTGACGAGTTTTTTTAGTAGTGCTCCAGCAGAGAACGTTGTTGACCAAAACATCGACTCTAGGTCTAACTTGACACTGCCGTCAGCTACAGAAACTCCATCAACGAGTTTATCTCCTCATTCCCACGAATCTGACTCTACATCGTCTTCAGAGATACTAGTCGCGCCGCCGACCGAACCAGTTCACACACCTTTTCAAAACCTAACGTATGCATCTTTGCCAAGTTCCACGACTACCGCCCTATTGGTAGGACCTATGCAAATTGAGTCAACGGAATGTTTGCTAGGACTCGATTGTAAGCGTTTGTGCTGTACAGGCCGACAGCCTTACCATCCTACCCTAGAAGAAATAAAGCACACGTCTAGAAAGCAAACCAGTACAGTAGGATCGTCGAATGTACGAACTTGTCCGTCTTCTATATTTTTGAAATATACATGGGTCACATACTGCATGACAAAAGGCACCATTGCCTGTTACTTCTGTAAAAGAGCGATGCGTCAAGACCTTGTTACTTTCAGTCATAATGGTGAAAAGGCTTTTCTCCTAGGACAATTCAGCGACGTTTAATAGCTAAGGACTTTGTTTTCAAAAACGAACGTAGGGTTAGATTTTTTAGGAAATTTGAAACTTAATCATGATTCATGAAACAATGCATATCTGTAATATACTAAAACAGTAAGCTGCAAACTCACATGCCCTTTTCGGTCAGTGCCCCCCCACTTTTAAGATACTTCCGCGGCCCCTGTTTGTTGTTACAAACCACGATCCAATGGTCTGATTAAGGCCAAATCGTTTTTGGTTATACGATTTTGCTCGAAATACAGCACGCGTGTGTATCCAGCGACCAACTTGCTTTCTATCATAGTCTGCGTTTCGATTGAAGGCCTGATGTAAGGAACCCAAAGCGAAAGATGAATATGCGAAAGGCATATTTTAAGATCAAACTCAAACTTTTAATGCGTTATTTAAATCTCCACCTTCCTACATACACGAAGAATATTTGCCGAAAGCGAAATATATCTTTCACTTTTTCGATAACATGTTCAGGTAAATGTGATTTTTGACATTCCTGTTAGGAGAGAACTCTCTCTTTGATTGAAGTGTGAAATGTAAACGACATTAATATCTTTATGCAAAATGTGTGACCTAAATATACGTCTTCTTATAAAGTATTCGTTTTTGTCAATGTTAATTCTTTGCTTTATTTTAGACGTGAACATTTTCTGTTAATGCGATCGAGAAACATAGTACAAATGTTGGTGGTTTTAATTCACCATGATAGAGGACTTATATAAATAAAGAAATTGATCATTGACCACGATGAAAACGTATTTGGCTTTTGTTCACCATTCCCTTGAGGCTGAGCTATTTACGAATTAATATTCTACTTCGTCTGAACTGCTTTATAACTGAGGAAATATTAAGATGGTAAGTGTCTTTTTCCTCCTTCATCGTTTTTGACAGTAATTTTACAAGACGTATGTATATTGTGAGTCCACCAGGCCGTTTACAAGGCAAGCTATGAATGGGAAATGACAAGATTTTGTTCTTTAGCGACGTTTCAATCTCCAGTGTCTCCAAGTCAAATGGAGTTTATTGGCCTTTGGCTGTTTTAAAACGTTTTCCTGAACATTTTTCTTACTTAGATCACGATTCTTGTCTCGACAATTGATTGAAAGACAAGTCACTTTTAACCAACGATTTATGAAGGTAAGATTTTTACAGCAACAAAATAAACTTTTGAGAAAGTTATGTTTATCTCAGGTGTTTAAATTAACTATTGTAACTTTACACAATTTTATTTTCTCTAGAGATGATTAAAATTACCCCATTATCAAACGCCGAAGTCTCGGCATTTTTTAATGTGAAAATCTTGTGTAATAAAAAGGTGGGATTTATCTTTATCAAAAAAAACAAATTTTAAAAATCCTAATTTTCTTACTGCAGTCAATGTTTTCAATTTCATGCCGTGTGCGACATGCACAGTTGTAAGAAATGGCCAATCTTCTTTCTGTGCTTGCCGTCGTCGACATAAGACTGCGGATGTTTGTCAGATAGCCTGAAAATTAGCTATATACGATTTTTAATATCGTCCATTCTTTTACTTCTGAAAGAAGTTTAACTGCTTTCAGTTTGTTGGTCCAAATGTCTAAAATCAAATGAAAAAAGTAGTTAAGTATTTTTTGTGAAACGGCAATCCTTGCACATTATAATGTTTTTGTCTGACTTTAGTCTTTACGTCTACTTTTTTGTCTACCTTTTCGTTTCCATAAGTATTCGTCTTTTTGTCAATCTTTTGTGTATCTTCTTGTATATCTTTTTGCCTTTATTTGTGTTACCTTTTTGTCTATGCTTTTCTCCACCTTTGGGCTTACCTTTTTGTCTATGTTTTCTATACCTTTGCGTCTCTCTTTTGTTATATATTCGCTTCATAATATGAAGAGTTATATCACAGAAAGAAAAAAGTCTCACAGGAAACCCACAGGTTTCTATTATGAGCTCTTTTGTTATTCCTAATATATTTAACGACTTGGCTAATGTGATACAATCCTTTAGTTAGGTGATGAGAACTTACAATATAAAGGAAGTTTATAAATACCTTGGCACAGAAATAGACAGTCTTAATACAAGTAGTTCCTGAAGATCGCCCTATGGCGTTAAACACAAAGTAGCGACAGCAAAAACTGGTCAATATAATAACTATAAAATGAATTGATTTTTCAATACTGAAGTGTAACTAACAATGCTAAAAATTGCCTTTTATACGTTCTTGTTCAAGTATACATGGTTTTAGTTTATCTTTGTTGTTTTAGTATTTTGTCAAAGTGTTTCCTCGATGTGGTTATGTATAAATATAATATTGTTATATATTTTAACGACTTAGCTAAAGCCTTAATAAATGCTGCGTCGTCTATGTTCAAAATAGTGCGCGAAAATGATAAAAAATTAATTAATCAAAATACCATACATACTTAAAAAGTGGCATCAAATTCCTTTGGCACAAAAGTTCTACTTTTTGTAACTTCAACTTGTTTTATATGTCAAATGTAATATTCGAAGCCATTCATAAAAATAATGCATGTAGGGAATTCTTTTAATATTTAATAAACCTTGAGGTAAGAGTTTAATCTTTTCCTATGCCAAGAGATGAATTCAATTATGTCTTCATTGCGATGTTGTTATCTTTACAATAGTTCAGAAATATTTTATGATTAGGATAGAGATGACACAAAAAAAACCACTAACATCACACTTCAAGTCAACTATTGTTTTGATCGACGAAAATTGAAGTTAACGACGAAAGATAAAACAAATCAATGTTTATAATGTTTATTAAAGCGTAATATATTTGAGATATAGAAACAAATTTAATGCTAATTAAGAGTTTCAAAATCTAGTACAACTTGATTAACAGCGTGTAAAACAGTGCTCTATGCTTATATTTCTTCCAAATGCTTCACAGTGTAGTTAAACACCTCGATCGATTTCAGCGTATTGAGCGTACACTTGATGATCTTTGCAAATTTTTTGTAATCAAAATATCTTACAATATGTCTCAAAAGAACTGGTCATCATCGAAATCAGCCGATAGTTAGAAATTCGCATGATCAGCGGCAATGATTGATCTCCAGGCTAGAAGGTATAAATGTAATTAAAATAAGTTTCTTGACTGGGATTTTTAATGAACTGTAGCTTCTATATTATACGTATGTAGTTATTAATTTATTATGTATTTAACTACGTTTAATTAAGGCTCCTTGAGGATTAATTTTTCCAGAATCATGGAAATTGTAAATGTCAGATAATTTCAAATATTGTCAAGGTTGAAAAATGAGACATCACCATGAAATATGTGATAGTCAGTAAACAAACCAGCAAAATCAAAGTGAAGCACCTTTCATGTTGATGGAAAAATGCTCAAAGGTGAAAGAATGCGACTTTGACCAAAATTTTTTAACGCGCTTGCATTTCACTCATTTTCCATCCAAATCTCAACAAACAACATAGCATTCCATAGCTAGAACCTAGAACTCTTTTTATAAGTATATAAAACTACATTTATTTATTCAGTAATTTACACACATCAGCAAGTAAAACTTGGATTAGCTTTTTTTGAAACACCCTGTATGAAGAACTTAGATCCCCAGACCGTGGGGGTTCCCCTTTGGATAAATCAACTTAAATGTATATTTTATTAAATACGTGTATAATTTACGGAAAATAAAAAAATAAGAATCAAAGGAAGATATCAGAATTCAGCCTTTAATAACACCATGACAACTCGTAGTGTATAGCAAGTCTACCAGTGCTATGAAAATAAATATTTTGTTGTTCAATTACTTTTTCGTTACTCACTACACTACATATGAGATGACAACAGTAAATATAGGCCAGACACACATAATTAGAGTAAAAGCCCCATTTGTCTTGGCTACATCACTACCTAAAACATACATAAAGATAATTTACATTGTCAGGTGGTCACCAATGCCAGATCTATCAAAACGCTTGTCAGCAAAGGATTTTTATTGTGTTTAAGTCTTTACAGAAAGGAATGGATTTGTGGCTCCATTTCAAGGAACAAGATGCTTTGTTAGCCCTGGCTTTTTGGGTATGTTTTCTTTCTCGTTTAGCTGACCAGCAACAGTTGTATTTTCAATTTCTGTAGGCAAAGTTTTAAATGGAGTGTTTGTTTGGTTCTTTTTGTTGTTTAATAAGAAAAATCTTAACATGTACATTATCTACATGAAAAAATTATAATGTTTAGTAAGATTTAAAAAGCCCAAACACTGGCTTTGCTGTGTAAATATGCAAGTTTCTGTTCACTGTGACAATTGATAAAATATAATTTGTATTTAAAAGAATTGTGTGTGGAGAGAAGGTCAATAGTTTGGTTACTTGATTCAACATTTCTTTCTATTTACGGTTGGGGATTTACACCTTAATTGTCGTGACAAAGTTCGTTTTTCGCTTACATTTAAATGTAGTAACTCTCATTTTTAATCTATATTTGAATTTCTTGGGATCAGAGATAACCACAACATTTTGTATAGTGATTTTGTGGTAAAATCATTTATGTAGCTGGGAGAATCAGTTTCAAAGCAATGTAAAGTATAAAGTATAGCAAAAGCAAGACATGAATGTCATAGCAATTAAAATGACTCATTACTGTCCATATAAGCAGTAAAGACACCAGTAGAAATGACTCATTTACTTTTCTTATCAGTTTTAAAGACGTTAGCCAAAAGTGTCTGGTTATGTCATTCACTCCTGAAAATGGATACATACTTTAAAGGAGGGTGTTGCCCTAGAAATATATTCCTAATCAGTGGCGTGCGGTCATGCAAGCGTAGGCAAGCGCCGCTTGCCTAAGCATTTTACCGAACAAAAATTTTTTGGATCAATCTCTGAGCAAAATCAGTTTAAATTTTTCTGTTCTAAACAATGTCAATGTAATCTTTTGTCTAAATTGTCTTTACAGTTGAAATGCTTGCTATTTATACGCGATTTACTGTCGTGGTTTTCGGTTTCACTTTGCTACACTTGTAAGATGAGTCAAGTGGATTAAATACACCTTAAAAATTTCTTATTTATTAACCAAGGCAAGCGCGCTTGCCTTCGGAGATCAATTTGAACATTTGCGCATGCGTTAATCTAGATTTGGAGGCTTCTTATTCGAGGAATATCGAGAAAAGGCAAGCGGCGCTTCTAAGGGCGCCGCTTGATAGCGATTGGTCAACAGTCTTGTACGCTCGCAATTTTAAACACATATCAGCGCGCGAATAATATTCGTATATTCAACACATTGGACATCCGAATTATTCACGCCGTTAATGTTATCGTTTATTAAAAGATGACTGAGAGCGAAAGGTAATGTTCTGATTTCTAATTCAAAGTAGTAGGTGCTTTACTGGTTATTTTATTATTTTCTGCGCACAATGTGCGTAAACAAGCAGGGGCCGCAGTCTGCAGAGATATCGAAATGCACGCAAACGTGTGTTGTGGTAAAGTATGACTAGCATTATGACCAAAACACTATGCTCTTGTCAGTCTTGTGTCGTTGAACTCGTAAATTAATGACTAAAAATAAAAGGTACAAGATACTAAATAATAAACACGACTCTCCGACATTTTGAAACGTACGAGTCAGTGCCAGACACATTTTGAAGAACGGGAGAACACGTTGCCATGACGTCATTATACCAAAATATAAACATTAAACAACGCCATGGCCTCAGTTTGTAACACACCGTGCCAATTTTGTGCGCGAAACTGGCTGTTCTTAATTGTTATAGTCACGACTGCTACAATACATTTCGCGCCTATTGTCTTGCAATTTATGTATGTAGAAGATATTATCTGTAGCATGTAATACAAGATTATGATATTGACAAGAGCTTCCTTTTGCGTAGTAGTTTTGATATTTGTATCCGGTAGATTTTAGCGTTATATATAAGTCTTTCGTATGAGCTCCGAACGTGAGTTCAATGTACTAGAACGCTATTAAATTTGTGATTATTTTATTCACTAGCGAAGAAGTTATTTACAACAGTCGTGAGTGTTCTATGTGTTAGAATTTATTTACAGGCTTTTTATATATTTGGTTAAAGAAGGTGCAGTTATTACACAGCGGATAATGTACTTGAAATTTGAGTAGTTTTACGTAATTATAAAGTATAATATCATTCAGAGTAAGCAGTTCGATATTGTCTTCTGTGTCACGAAAGTTCGCGAGACGAAAGATAAGATTCAAGAACAACTAACAAAATTCGTAGATTATTGGAATTTTACGTCAAGTATCGTCAAAGTAGCACTGAAACGCGGGCAAAGTGAAGAGGATGTAAAGGCGTCCTTCCGTCAAATGTTTTTCCGTGTAGTCAATAACATTGTCGTGCAGATTGACTCTAGATTCG